GTGTAGAGTGATGTGTACAACATCTGGTGCCTTCCCACACAAGGAAGGGCTTCTCCTTGTCCTTTTCCCCACTTGCTGGAATGCCTGTATGGTGGTGGGTCATTGTGAAAATGTGTGTGAGCCTTCACTACTAGGAGTAGTGAAGCAACAAGTTCAGCAAGCTTAGGCCTTGTGGATTTAGCAGGACAGAATTCCCATACATACTCAACTTTTGAAATGAGTTAGCAGGATACATAATAAGTGATACACAACCTCACCAAAATTTACTTCCCCACCTATTATTTCTGATGAAGACTTTCAATTCTCCTGTCTGGGTTCAATGCTTTCTTATGGGCATTAATAGTATACACTTTGTATGTATTTTTATTTGGTGCTATGTTTTAGACCTTAAGGCTCTAACTGTAAGAAGTGTACAATTTATAAGGTATCAAGAATGGCATGAAAGCTTAAAAAGTTATGATCAATACACATATATGTCTGATATTATTTACTCCCATCCTACTATATATTTTGACATATCCTAAGTCTTTCATTTTCTAGGAGGAGAGCAGGGTAACCATAATAAGAGAAACCGAAATTCCTCTGTGCAAGGAAAGGAAGTGGACCAATGATGATTCTGATAGGCTCCTTACTAGCTAAGAATTACCGAGATTGTCTTCTTAGGATGATTAATAATACTTCTCCCAGATGACATGTGTTCTTTCCTAAGCTTTTGATCAGATTATTAATGAGAGCTATCCTCAGACTGAAAAGGTTTTACTGCTTAATTATAAGGCCCAATCATTATTATGATAATCTGGTACTGCTGAGTTTTTAATATTATGTACATAAATTTAGGTGGTCTGGTTCCATGCATGCAGATGGAGGGGATGGTATACACAAATACTGGTGTTCTATTGGAAATTAAAACTCACTTTTTAATAAGAGGCAATCTTATTCAATTCAGGTAAGAAGATTTCCTGAATACTTAAAGATCATTATCTAATGGACATTTTAAAAATGAAAAGCTCTGACGGTTTTTTTTAAAATCCATATTTATTTGGTGACAGTCTCTGATGAAGTTTGAATGTGGCAGAGAGTTTAATTTTTCAGGATAATGGTTAGCATGGATAATTCATAATAAGTTTAACAATTCAAGGCTCAAAGCTATTAAATAATTGCAACTAGATTACCAATTGACTTTACTCAAATCTAAAAGGGACTTTTAATGTACTTAATATTTTGCTGAAACATAACTCAGTCTCAATGACTTTGAAAGGGACATTAATAGTTTTCTGAAAATATAACCTTGAAAATTAAATCCATTATATATTTCTGAGATTATAGATGAAACTGCTCTGTCAAATAAGTCATTACATTAGCATAATGAGGTATGAGGGGAGATAATAAGCGAGAAACAGCAAGTAAAAGGTACCGTGTACCGCAATTTGCTTACATTTAACCACAATGACCTTTAAAAGCAGAGCTGAAGGGTCAGGTTTATCATCACTCTTCCAGCCTTCAAGTAATATATTTCTATTTAGCAGAACAATTTGCTGCAAATTGCTGTAGTAAGAATTATGCTAGGCCCAGCTCTCTACCTGCAAAACACAGGGTTTTAGTGGGAGAGCCCCTGAGAAGAGCAGCTAGCCAGCCGCCACTTCCCTGAAGCAAAATACCTGAAGTGTGCATGGTGATTGGCAATCACTTTCGTGAAAAAAGCAAGCAAATCAAAACGCAGACAAGTCATTAAAAACATATCCCGGGCCCTAGCCGGTTTGGCTCAGTGGATAGAGCATCGGCCTGCGGACCGAAAGGTCCCAGGTTCCATTCTGGTCTAGGGCACATGCCCGGGTTGCGGGCTTAATCCCCAGTAGGGGGCGTGCAGGAGGCAGCTGGTCAATGATTCTCTCTCATCATTGATGTTTCTATCTTTCATTCCCTTTCCCTTCCTCTCTCTGAAATCAATAGAAATAAAAATGAATAAAAATATATTTAAAAAACAACATATCCTGGAACAAATATATGTCAAAAAAAGAAAACAGCAGAATTTAAAATGCTAAAGAACTAGCATGGTATGAATACATCTGTCACACTGAGGCTGGCGAGTGTCAATTTGCCTGGTCATCCAGTTTTGGATGTGATTTAAAAAAAAATATATTTTTATTGATTTCAAAGAGGAAGAGAGAGATAGAAACATCAATGAAGAAAGAGAATCATTGAACAGCTACCTCCTGCACGCCCCACACTGGGGATCCAGCCTGCAACCCCGGCATGTGCCCTGAGCAGGAACTGAACGGTGACCTCCTAGTTCGTAGGTCGATGCTCAACCACTGAGCACACCATCTGGGCTGAATGTGATTTTTAAATGTTTGCTCAAAGAAGGTTATGCATGTAAAATCACATGAAAAAAATATTTGATCAAAGATAATAGATTAAAGTTTCCATATTCATTTCTTCATTTCTTGTATTCAAATGATTTCCCCCCCTAATTGCCTGAATATCCTTTGACTACAGAAATTCTCCAGCTCAAAGACAGCTGAGGGAAATAATGGCCAGCAGAATGTCTGAGCCACAGCAGTCATAGGAAATATTTGTTGAGTGAGTCTTGAATGTGTGAGTACTGAGCAACTTGAAATGCAGGCCTTCCTGTTCACGTGACATTGGTTAAATAAATGATTGACAGAATCCTCTAGGACAATGATTCAAAATTCTTTTTAATATATCTTCATTCTTTAAAAATGATGCAAGGAGTGTCTTTCTTTTTTGGTAGCTATAGTGTGCTATGCTCATCAAAATGTCAATTTTTTGTTGTTGTGTCAGTGACTTTTAAAAGAGGGCAGAATTGAAACTGATTCAGCATGCAGTAATTGATGATAAGGGTAAAAGAATCCAGCGGAGTTGTTCTCCTTGATCTTTACTGGAAGGTTTTTCAGTTAAGACGCAGTCACTATGGAAGCAATATTATCGCGTCTACTAAGAGCTCCTGGTCAGGGGCAGAATGACTCCCACTGTGAAAAGTGGACTTATATGAATGGGACTTATATGAATGGGATGTTCATTTTTTTTATTAAATTTGTTCTGGAATTCAACATTAGTCCAGAGGAAGTGGAGGAGCTAAATGAAAACTTTAAAAATACAACACAGGCTGTGTGAGATATAAGTACCTCAGGAATTAATGGGATATATAATTCAAGGGAGTTGTCACTAGGCTGCCACTCTTTTCATTAGGTCATATACCTAAGCAGCTTCAGGTAAATAAAATCGAAGTGATAATTCCATAAACTATAAAAACATTACTACTTACAGTCTACATTAAAACATAATGATGAAATGAAATAATACAAAGGGTAAGATTTTAAAATTAGATGACATGGAATATACCCTCCATCTTTTAAGTAGTGGTGCTTAACTGTGGCATTATACTCTATTGTGGGCTTGATCAAATAATATTGTTACAATATAGTTAAGTTATTAAACTGTTTGAACAGTTTTAATATTTTTAATTAGAATACTTCTAAGGTGGTCCATATAATAACCCCTCTAGCTGTTATGCACACTTTTATAAACTTTCTTTGATATGAAAGAAGAGATAAAGAACAAGAGCTTAATACAACTTGTGGTCTTTTTTAAATTTCTTCAACATCTTGTAATCTGGCAAATCTATAGGACTATTTGATACACATATGTAAATCGTCCATGTTGTAAGAGAAAAAAAATTAAGGACTCCCTGGTGCTTTACGTACCTGTTGTTTCTATGCTACCGTGTCCAGTCAAGATGTGGACAGTGCCCAGTTCAATTTGGAACTCACTGACAAGTCAGGGTAAGATTTATCAGCTTCTTTATCTCTCTCTTTTATTGCTCCTGATGTCATTCTCTTTCTATTTGAACATCGTTAGCCTCTTTTAGGGCGAGCCAGTTGTGAGGCTAAGTTCAAATTATCATAACATTCATTACACTTTATTGACTCTTTGTTAATCATTATTAAACAAAACAGAAATGTTATAAATTCACCTGATGCTTTTAAGCATTTTATTTGCTCTATTCTAGACTCTGTTCTCGTGCTTTCAACCACTTTTTAAACCAGCATAATGACCATATGATATAAATAAAATTACATTTGTTTTGGTTGAAACATTTGAGAAACAGATTTATCCAAGGTCACAAAGACTAATAGACTTGGTATTGAAATTCACTTTTCTGTGGATAATGGAGGTCAAGCTTTTTTTTTTTTTCAACAACCACAGTGTCAGGAATAAAATGTCTTTTGAACTTTCTGATCACTTCTTTAAAACTAGAAAACCAAAAATATGAATCTTGAGAATTTCCTGTTCATTAAAAGTAAGAACAGGCAGAAAGATGAGGGGAACATGCACAGTTTGCAGGCTCAATCCCCACTAGGGGGCATGTAGGAGGCAGCCAATGGATATTTTGCTCTCACATCAATGGTTCTCTCTCCCTCCCCTATCTTTCTTCCTCTCTCTCTAAAAATCAGTTATGAAAATCTTTAAAAAAAAACCCCATATATTTACTGGATGGGTCAGTCATACCACTCCTATTTACATTAGAGGAATACAAACTTATGAGCAATAAAAAACTGTACATAAATGTCTATAGTACCTCTACCCCTAATTATAGTAAATTGGGAACATGTCTACATGTCTTTTTAAAAAATATGTATTTTTTTAAATTTCAGAGAGGAAGGAAGAGGGAGAGAGAGATAGAAATATTAATGAAGAGAGAGGATCATTGATTGGCTACCTCCTGCATGCCCCACACTGGGGATAGAGCCCACAACCTGGGCAAGTGCCCTAATCAGGAATCGAACCATGACCTCCTGGCTCATAGGTCAATGCTCAACTACTGAGCCATGTCAGCCGGGCTCTACATGGGTTAAAGGGTAAACAAAATGTGGTAAATCTCTAAAGGAATACAACTTAGCAGATAAGAATCATGACCACAACAAAACTCAACAAACTATTAATATGTGCAGCAACTTGAATCTAAAATGCATTTTACAGTGCTTGTTTCGGTAGCACATATACTAATATTAGAATGACACAAAGAAGATTAGCATGGCCCCTGTGCAAAGATGACACACAAATTTGTGAAGCGTTCTATACAAACTCTCCAAAAATTCATATGGAATAAAAAAAGACCCCAAATAGCTGCAGCAATCCTGAGAAAGAATAACAAAGTAGGAGGGATCTCAATACCAGATATCAAGCTACATTATAAAGCCACTGTCCTCAAATCTGCCTGGTACTGGCACAAGAACAGACATATAGACCAATGGAACAGAACAGAGAACTTAGAAATCGACCCAAGCCATTTTGCTCAATTAATATTTGACAAAGGAGGCAAGGATACAATGGAATCAAGATAGTCTCTTCAATAAATGGTGCTGAGAAAATTGGACAGATACATGCAAAAAAATGAAACTAGACCACCAACTTACACCATACAAAAAATAAACTCAAAATGGCTAAAGGACATAAACTTAATACGGGAAGCCATAAAAGTCTTAGAGAAATCCACAGGCAGCAAAATATCAGACATATGTCGTAGCAATATCTTTACTGATACAGCTCATAGGACAATGGAAACTAAGGAGAAAATAAACAAATGGGACTACTATAAACAAAATAAAAAGCTTCTGCACAGCAAAAGAAACCATCAACAAAACAACAAGAAAACCCACTTCATGGGAGAACATATTTGCCAATGTTACCTCTTATAAGGGTTTAATCTCCAAAATTAACAGTGAACTCATACAACTTAACAAAAGGAAGATAAACCAATAAAAAAATGGGCAAAGGACCTAAATAGACACTTTTCGAAAGAGGACATACAAAAGGCCAAGAGACATATGAAAACATGCTCAAAGTCACTAATCATCTGAGAGAAGCAAATCAAAACGACAATGAGGTACCATCTCACACCTGTAAGAATGGCTATCATCAACAAATCAACAAATGACAAGTGCTGGCGAGGATGTGGAGAAAAAGGAACCCTTGTGCACTGCTGGTGGGAACACAGACTGGTGCAGCCTCTGTGGAAAACAGTATGGAATTTCCTCAAAAAATTAAAAATGGAACTCCCATTTGACCCAGTAAGCCTACTTCTAGGAATATATCCCAAGAAATCAGAAACACCAACTAGAAAGGATATGTGCACCCCTATGTTCATAGCAGCACAATTTACAATAGCTAAGATTTGGAAACAGCCTAAGGCCCATCAACAGATGAGTGGATTAAAAAACTGGTACATCTATACAATGGAATACTATGCTGCTATAAAAAAGAAGGAACTCTTACCATTTACAGCAGCATGGATGGACATGGAGAGCAGTGTGCTAAGGGAAATAAGCCAGTTGGAGAAAGATAAATATATGATCTCACTCATTTGTAGAATTTAATGAACAACATAAACTGATGAACAAAAATAGATCCAGAGACTGAGAAGCATCAAACAGATCATCAAACCTCAGAGGGAAGGTAGGAAAGGGTGGTGGTGGGGGTAAGAGATCAACCAAAGGACTTGTATGCATGCATATAAGCATAACCAATGGACACAGACACTAACAGGGTAAGGGCTTGTGTTTAGGGGTGGGAGTGGCCAGGGAGAGGTCAATGGGGGAAAAGGGAGACATATACAGTATTTTAATCAATAAATAATAAATAAATAAATAAATAAATAAATAAATAAATAAAATGCATTTTACAAATGAGAAGAAGCCAGTACCAAATGTTTGCACAATCAATGATTTTGATGTGATTTGATTTATATGACATTCTTGAATAGATACAACTATAGTGGTGCAAACTACTTCAGTGGGATAAGGAGGGGTGTGTGTTGGACCATAAAGGGGAAATACAAGATAGTTTTGGGGGGATTATGGTATTATGGATCCATTTGTTATCCCAATATTTAACTTGGACAATAAAACAAGAGTCAATTTTACTGTATGATATTAAAAAAATAAAATTAAAATAAAAGGTGTTCCATACTGAAAACACATATATTTTTTTAAACTAATGAGGCAGATTTGATATGCTTGAAATTACATGGGAAGCTTTGCCAAAAAACAAAAATAAAAACAAAAACAAAAACCCAATCTATGTTTCATTTGCATACATCTATTTTTATTAAAATGGATGTTCTAGAGATTACATCCTGCCTTAGGGAAAACCTGCAAAGATTCAGAGCCAAGTTCAAACAGGGAGCTCTCAGGTAGCAGGTGTCCTGTCAGCAGGCAAGCAAAGAATGATAGGTCCTTTGGGGGCACTGGGCAGTGGGTCTCTGGGTGTCTGTGGCCCATCCATTGGGGTGTTTATGAATTTTCTCTAGTGCTCAAAACACACTCCCTTGAAACATTTGCAGTGTTTTGAAGTCATGCATATTATTTGTTCTTCAGATACTTAAATTGTGTGTTGAGTCTAAAAAATGTGGACTTTGTATTGTTCTTTTATGTCATTTCATAGTAATTATTATTTACCAAAAAATTGTTATCTTGGGTTGTTATATCTTACATAAAAGCAAAGTTGCGTTATAATCAGATCTATAATCATGCAAATATGTTACATCTTTAGAAAGATCCATAAAAAAGACTCCCTAGAGATAACGTAAAGGCCTCGGTTGTATTCCAGCTCCAGTCCCAGAAAAGCAGCAAAACCAGGTGGGTGATGCCAGGACCAGCTGCGATGACTAATGGCCCCCTGGCCTGGCACTGACCAACCGGTGGAGACCATGGCCCTGAAAGAGCAAACCTGGAAACTGATGACTATTCTGCTGAAACTCTCCTAAAACTTCCATTAAGATTCCCACCTGCAAGAAAGAGATGAAAGTATCAAGACAAAGGACCCAGCAAGAACCCTCCCTCCCAGGAGCATGCCTGCACCTTCCTTCCCTCCTCTTCTTCCACAAGCACGCATCTCCTAAATTCTAAGGGACCCCATGAGCTTGCCACCAGGGAGCAATGGGCAGCAGCGGCTCATCCTGAACCTGTCCCCAAAGCCCCCCTTTCTCTGACTTCTCAGTGATCCAAAGCAGCCCAGCTGAGGCTCATTTCCCCACCTAGTGTGTCTCCTGTTGCTTCTATCCTAAGTCCTTCCTTGTTTCACTGACCCCAGCTTTAGTAAACATCCTCTAAAAATCACCCAGACTTGTGTTGTGAAATCTTTCCTGCACAAAGTCAAGAACCCACACACTATTAGCAGGCCCTAGGCAGACCCCCTCAAGGCCAAGTCCCCTTTCCAGTACTAGGAGCTGAGTACTAATGGGGAGAGGGAGCAGCCTGAGGCCCACTCCTCTTGCCTTTCCTGGTGTGAAACTACTGCAGTTATCCTCAGCACACTGTACCCAAGGTAGACCCTCTATTCCATGAGTGGGGGCTGGAAGAACGGATCCCTCACCTCTCAACCATACTCACTCGGACTTAGCCTAATCAACAGGTAGATGGGGCAGGATGAGAAACATGGCTTCTTTTACTTCCCCAGGAGAAAGCCCTTTTAATGGGACAGGGGGAGAGGGAGCCCTGTGTTTTTGGTCTTGGGGCAGAGTGACCTTGTGCTCTTGGTCTGGGGGGAAGATTCTGTGTCCTTAGTCTTGGGGGAGAGGCCCTGGTTTTTGGTCTGAAGGGATGTTACCTGAAAGGGAGCTGGCCCTGAGCGGGTCTGCCCCAGGCCAGCCAGCAGTGTGTGGGTTCTTGACTTCGTGCAGGAAAGATTTCACAACGCGAGTCCAGGTGATTATTAGAGGATGTTTATTAAAGCTGGGGACAGTGATCCCAGAGGGAGAGTGCACCTCAAAAAACATATTTTTAAAAAGAAATTATTTTAGGGCAAGTAACCAGGATTTAAGGTACAAATAAAAGAAGTGAATTTTATGTTGCTTCAAATACACAGACACGTATTCTACATGACAGCATTGTAGGAATTATTGCAGATAAATCTCAAATTATTATCTAAAGAGTGAGAGGATTCTGGATTGATGTCTTTATTCCCTATATCCTGCCTTAAAAGCCTGAAGTTGATTTACAGATTGCATTATCAGTAGGTTTCATAATTTGATTCTGTCTCTTTTGAAGCCCGGGACTGGCTGACCCTCAGCAAGGCCATGGAGCTTATTCATATGATCTTTTTTTCAAAGGGATGAATGCTAAATAAGCATCATTTAAAGAGCCAACTGGGAAATGTCAAAACTGCAAAATGTGAGCTTTGTTCCTATGACAGAGTATATTTCATGTTATATTATATTGATTACTCAATTGTGTTGATGTGAGACTTTTCATTTGTCTAAGTTTTGATTCTTTTTCTAACTTAATTAAGTTGAGAACAGAAATTATGCATCGCATTTCTATTCCCAACAACACAGTTATATGCTCTGTAGAAAGCAATAAACTTATTAAAAGTAAGTAAAGGTGGAAAGCCCTTCCAACTGAGGGGAATTCTGTATGTTTCTTAGGTTGAGATCCCTATAATATGGGAATGTTCTACATAGGGATCTGCACAGTTGTTTCCCATTTTCATTGCTGCAATATACAAGGATAAAAGAAAAAAATCAGTTAAATTGTACATTTTTATGAGCAAGAAATTAGAAAGTGAAGAAAAGTTCTAGTCTGGTTCTTTGATGTTAGGCCAACTTCTGTTACTGCAATATCTCCAAGAAGTAATAATATGTAACTAATGTGCCAGGGCTCAAATCAAAATGGCAGTATCTGCTAATAATTATCAGAGGACATCTAGTATCAGTGATGTGAAGAGGAAATAAAATAATGTAATTAGTAACATAATGAGTTCATTAAAATAGAGAGAACAGCTTAAAAGTTTAATGTCTTTATCCATAAAAAATATTTCTTTTCTTCAAACTATTCTTTATTCTCTGTTTCCAGACTTCTGTTTAAAAAGTGTCAAGGATGTGGGAAAAAAAAGTATATGTGTTGAAATATAGGGTTCAGTTTCAAAGATGATAATCTATTGTATGTGGGTACTGGTTTGGCTTCACCTTCCCACAGGTAAATTTTCTCTGCTTCTTCAACCGCTTTTGAGGTCAGAAATCCTAATGTTTTAGGGTGCCCTTCACTCTTACTTCCCATGGGGTCTAGTGAGTTAAATTCATCATAAGGG